GACAAAAATAAATAAATAAAATAAAATAAAATAAAATAAAAATTAATTGTTCCAGGGCCAGTGAGATGGTTCAGTAAGTAAAGCCACCTGCTATGAAGCCTGATGACCAGAGTTTGATTCCAGGACCCAAATGGTAAAGAAAACTAACTCCCACCCTCTGTTCTCCACACAGGTGTCATCACACACACACATATACACACATAATACATAAATGTATGCAATAATTTTTAAAAATGATTATTTTAAATTCACTTTACAGTAATGATACTCTTTAAAACACAAAAATGCTAGCCGGGAGTGGTGGTGCACACCTTTAATCCCAGCACTTGGGAGGCAGAGGCAGGCGGATCTCTGCGAGTTCAAGGCCAGCCTGGTCTACATAGTGAGTTCCAGGACAGCTGGGGCTACAGGGAGACCCTGTCTCAAAAAGATAAAAAAAATTAATTAATTAATTAATTTTTAAAAATACAAAATGTTGGGGCTAGAGATGGCTCAGTGATTAAGAGCACTTGCTCTTCTTGCACAGGGTCAGGGTTCACAGGCTAACTGTAACTCCAGATTCTAGGGAATCTGATACCCTCTTCTGGCCTCCACAGGCACTGCAAATACATGTTGCAGTTACATATGCACAGGCAAAACACTCATCCACATAAATATGCTTAAAAATAAAAAATAGAAGCCAGGCATGGTAGCCCATGCCTTTAAGCCCAGCACTCTGGAGGTAGAGGCAGGTGGATCTTGAGGCCAGCCTGGTCTACATGGTGAGTTCCAGGCCAGCTGGGGATAAAGGGAGACCTTGTCTCAAAAAGACCAAAAAACAAAACAAAACACACACACAAAAACAACAAATAGGCAGAGTGTGATGGCACATGTCTTTAATCCCACCTTTGGAGACAGAGGCAGTCAGATCTCTGGTTTACATAGTGAGTTCCAGGCTTGCCAGAGCTACACAGTAAGACCCTGGTGCTACATGCCTATAATCCTGGCCTTTGGGAGGTGGAGGTAGGAGGATTAAGAGTTTGAGGTCCTCCTGGGCTACATGAAATGCTGTCCTCAAAACAAAATGGGCTGGAGAGATGGCTCATCAGGTTAAGAGCACTGGCTACTCTTGCAGAAGACCCGAGTTCACAACCTAGCATCCACATGGCAGGTAACAACTGTCTGTAACTCCAGTTCCAGAGATCCAATGCCCTCTTCTCACTTCCTTGGGCATTGCACACGTGATGCAGTTACATACATACACAGAATACAGTCATATACATAAAATAAAAATATTTTGAAAATAAGACAAAACAATTTACCTTTCAACAAAACTAAAATAATATATTTTCCTGAATTGAGGCTACTTGTAACTCAATGGTTCCAGGAAAACATAAGCACTATAGCTGCTGTAGTCTTCTAAAATACAAATTATCAATTTTCTTCACTAGTAACATGTAGACTGTCCTTATTGAAGTTATATGAGAATTAGGACGTCACTAAAGCAATCTACTGGACAGCTTTAACAACAATTTTTGAAAGACAGGCATCAGGGCTGAAGATGTAGCTGCATTGGTAGAGTTCTTGCCTAGCATATGTGAAGCCCTGGGTTCAACTGCCATCACTGTATAAACGAGGCATGGTGATGCATGTTAATAATGCTGATGCTTGAGAACTGGAAGCAGGAGAATCAGGAGTTAAGATCATCCTCTCTGAGGCCAGCCTCAGACACATGAGACCTTGCTTTAAAGGGGTTTCGGGGCAAGACATTAACATTTACTATGCACCAAAGCACCAGACACTGGGCTAGTTCCTTGGTCAGTGTTTTCTTATTTGACCCCAACACTGCTAAAGCCTTAGTACCCCCACGATGTATGTGGGCACAATGAAGTTCAAAAGCACTGTGGAACTGGCTCTCATTCAGAGGAGAGTATCTATTCTACATCGTCCTATACCCTAAAAGGCACTTGCTTCCAAGGAGCTTACATTCCTGGAGCTGGAGAGATGGTTCAGCAGTTAATAGCACTGGCTGCTCTTGCAAAGGACCCAGGTTCAGTTTCCAGCACCCACATGGCGACTAACAAATGTCTG